CCTGTCGGCATCCTTCCGAGACGGAATCGCTTTTGGGTTCCTGGCCCGGTTGGGTCCAGACTCCGGCGGGTGTCTGTCCTCTCTGGGCAATTAAATAAACCCCGGCGGGAAGTCCTGGGAGCGGCGGCCGGTCTGTCGACGAGGAGATGAGGAGGGGGGACAACCTGAGATGAAGCTCCTATCTGGTCAACGGGACCTCTTCCCGCTGGTCCAGGGCGACCGAGGAGGCTTTGCTCAGCACCGAGGGCGTGAAGGTGAGGAAAGAGTCCGTCCGGGTGGTGGCCGAGCAGGTAAAGTCCGATCCCGAAGGCCGCTGGGGCAGCCCGTTGGCCTGGCCCCCGTGGCACGCCAGGCAGGAGCACGGGCCGCCCCCCGCGGCGCCGCTCAGTCCGTGGGCCGGGCCGGCGTAGAGGGAGGGGTGCCTGAAGGCGCAGAGCAGCTCCGGCCGGGGGTAGGGGTGGGAGAGGACCCGGAAGGTGTCCAGCGGTCTCAGCGGGGAGCTGAAGGGGGCGGCGGCGGCGGAAGCCGAGGTGGCCCCCAGGCCCATGTGGGAGTAGTAAGGCAGGGGCAGGTGGGAGGGGAAGGGGTAGGGGAGGCTGCCCGTGGCCGCGGCGTGGCTCATCATGTAGGTGTAGAAGGCCGGGTCGGCCGGGTGGGGCCAGGTCATGGCCAAGCGCTGCCTCTTGTCCTTCATCCGCCGATTCTGGAACCACACCTGGCGGGGACAGACGGGAGGGGGAGAAGAAACCACAGCGAGCTCTTGAGACCCTCCAGGAAAGAAGGCGGCCCCCCTGGTTGCCCGCTCGCTGCCACAAAGTAAAGCTGCCATAAACCTCCATGCTTACTCCCGAGTAAGTCTGGAGCGGGCGACCCGTTGTTTCCCAGGGATGCGCACAGGATCAGCCACTGCACTTCCTACCCATCTTGGGTTGATTGACTCGGAAGCAATAGAGCTTTGCAATAGAGCTTACTCCCGGGTAAGCATGCAGCCGACCTGCAACCTTACTAGGCCTAGGATTGTGGCCGCAGGCAACAGAACAACAAGAACAGGTCAGGTCTCTGTTTTCTCTTAATGTAGTGGGTTTTTAACCTCACTTTAAATCCCACTCCTTGGTTTTCATAATCTAGTTGCCAGATTTACATAATTACTCCGGCTTTGAGCCGCAGGAGAGGGGAAAAACGGCCCTACGACTGAAACTACACACACACACACAAAAACTGTTTGTGTGTGAGTGAGTCCGTGCGTGTGTGTGTAAGAGAGGGGGGGGAGCGCACTGAAAGGACTGGGACCTGCCTATTTGCATAAACCTTTTTTCAATGGAGATAGATTTTGACAGGAGGCTTCCCGTGTTCGCCTTTTGCCCCACAAACTTCCCCAGGAACCGTTCCTTCCAATTCAGTGGCTGGAGACCTACAGGGAGTCCCAGGGTTCCTGTCCTTTTAAGCCTGGCTCAATGCTCTGTGGTTGAAGACAGAGAGTTACTTCTTCTGCCTCTCATCCTCCCCCCCCCCTTTCAGATATTTGCGAAGTGTTCTCGGGGATATTGCAGACAGTCGGTTGTGTACCGAATGAGGAGGGCGCAGGCTACACCCCACGGCACTGAATGGGAGATCCAGTCTTGGCATGGCAGGTGACACCGCCTTAGATTCTGAGCCTCTTGGCCCCTGGAATTTATCTCATGCCGGTGGTCTCATATGAAACCACTGAGAATGGTCGGAAAGGTGTTTAACCGGAAGAACCCCCCCCCCCCACTCCTCCTCTCCCAGCAGCCTGCCAGGGAAGCTTCCTTCGGTCTCGTCCTTGAGGTCTCCGCACAGACAGCTAGACCCGCAAGCCATTGGGACCGCAGGAAGGCCAGCAGGGCTGATACCCATTTTCTCTGTAGCGAGTGCCAGTGGCATTTCCTCTCACGCAAGAGGGTCTCAGAGATCCTAAAGCCAGGATTTCCATAAAATCAACCCCGGGACTTGCGCTGACTGATCCACAGTCACTCCCCCGCCGTGCCAAAGACAAGGATCAACTCCCCCCCCCCTTCCTCGAAACGCTCCCAGTGAAGGGCGGAAAGAGGCCCCCCTGGGTGACCCGTCCCTAAGCGGAGGGCTGAAAGGCAACTGAAGGACCCGACTCTGGGCATTGGTCAGGCTGCCAGCTGCGGAGAGGCGTCGGTCCCTGGAGACCCCCTTCCCCGGGCTGCAGCAGGAAGCCCAGCAGCCCTCGCGGGTTGATACCTCGTGCGAATGGGACCCAGGAGGGACACCCTCCCGTCCCCACCCCCGCGCTTGCTTGCTCGCTCGCCAGCCTACCTACCTTGATGGTGGTTTCCGGCAGATTTAAGGCGGCCGCCAGCTCGCATCTCCTGGGCCGGGAGACGTAGTTCTCCCGGTAGAACTCCTTCTCCAGGCGGGCGATTTGCTCGCGGGTGAAAGCCGTGCGGTAGCGGCGCATCTGATCGCTCGCACTGCAGGCTAGCGACCCTTGAGAGCCGCCGCCGCCACCACCTCCGCTCTTCGGGGGGTCGCCCCCGCTGCTGGGGCTGCCTGCCGAGGCTTCCGAGCACTGCCCTGCGTGGGGAAGCAGAAGGGAAGGCCTCCTGAGAGAGAAGGACGGGTGGACTCTGCCCCAGTTTGTTTCGGATCATCCCGCCACCCCCTAGTGATAGCCGTTGGCCTACAGCCCCCACCCCCCATTTGGCTAGTGATGACCAGGTGTCAGGTCCAGATCTCTTAATCCGGAGTAAACAGTCCGATTCTCAGTCCGGTTAAACTTCCCGGCTGGGGTTTAAGCAAGTCAATCCTATACACCTTTATTTGGAAGCCGTTTCCATGGATTTCAATGGTATGTACTCCCAAGTAAAGTTGCATTCCGTACAGGACGTCCAACTGAATTCAGGGGGACTTGCTTTCCAGAGAACATTAATCGCATCTGGGAGTTTGGTTCTGAATAGACTCGGACTCTCTCGTTGAGACAGAAGCCAGCCAGTCCTGCCTGCGGACCGTGAAGGTCGAAGTGAGGCCTATCCCGCTCACCGTTTCCTTCCAAAGAATCTGTCCACATTCTAAAAGTGTTTCGGATCAGGGTGCTAGATGCTTTGATCTGCTGTCACCTGGCGCGACTGAAGTCAAATCGCCTTTGGTATCAGCGAGCCAGGCCGCAACCCAACCACTTTCCGCGGGGATTTTTTTTTAAGCCCCAATCCTGAACATCCTTCTGGGAAAGCGTTCCCTTCATTCAGCGGGACGCCCACCCGTGTAAAATATGTGATAGAAAGCCCCAGGTGGTCAGCCGCGTCGGTCTGAAGCGGTAGAACAAATTTAGAGTCCAGTGGTGCTTAAAGGTGCCACTGGACTCTGAATACGGGGTGGAAAGGAGGGACTGGTGGTACTAAGAACCAAGGAAGCCTCTCTCTTTCCATCCCCCACCCCACCCCAGGAAGCACTCGACCCGAGAAACCAGGGTGCCCCATAGAACTGCGACCCCCACCAAGCCGGTGAATTTACAGTGCAGTCCTCAACAGAGCGACACCCTTCTCAGTCAACAGAAGGCTGAGGTGTGCCTGTGCCTGTGCCTGTGCCTGTGCTGAGGATGGGCCGCCGTCTACTACGGAAGGCGTTTGGGAGCCAGAGATGAGGCGCCGCTCTGCTTCCCGGCGCTCCGGAGGCGTTCGAGAGCGGCTCTTCAGGGAAAGGAGGACCTCCGCAGTCACCTCTGGCCTGGCGGGAGGGCGGCGGCGGCGGCGGATGGGAGCGGCCCGGCATTTCCCAGGCCCCCTGCGGCGGGGCTGCCTCCGATCCCTCGCCTCGGCCAGGTTGCGCATGATAATCGCCGGCCATTGAGATGGACTGGGGAGGGGGGAGGGGGGGAGAAATGCCAGCGGCCGGGAAGAGATGCGCCGCGCCTTCCTTGGGGGACGGGAAAGAATGTCCTTCCTGACAATGGAGATGAAAGAAACTTCCCAGGCTGGGGCAGGCCAGGAGGCTTTTGCTGCGCCCAGCCCCCTCCCCCCCCCCAGAAGTGTTTAGGGCTCTGGGGGCGGAGGGGAGCGGCGGTGGGAGGGGATGAGAAAGCACCCCCCCCCAATCCGGTTTCGGCCTTTGCCTTTCAAATGCCGCCAGCTCTCATTGTGCCTGAATGGGCCGAGGGCAATTAGCGCCCCCGCGACCATTTCCCGGGCTGGCGCCACTGGGGCAGGGAAGTGACAAGGCAATTTGGACCTCGAACCAACGTGCAAACACGACAGCAGCAGCCCTTTGGGGAGCCGAAGCTGTCTGCGGAGATTTTTACAGTCTTGCTGGGGGGAGGGAGGGTGGCCGCTCCGGTGCTCATCCAGGCGGCCCGGGGCAGCCCGGCCCGGGGCAGACACTCGCATCCTTTTAATCTCGACCAAGCCGGGGGGGGAGCTTCCTTGCGCCCTCCCCCCCTTTCTCGGGGCAGGGGAAGCGGGCGCTATAACCCGGCGAGGCCCAGCGTTCTGCATTGGAACAGGAAAAGCTTGGGGGGGGGGGATTATAGTTACATAAAAGTCTGGACTGCAGGGGGAGAGATCTGCAAAGGTCAGAAGTCCCTGTTGCTGCGAGGATGCGATTTCAGGTCCCCCATTAACACGTCGTTACACTTCAAAGCGGGAGATGTGTGTGGGTCGCGGTATCTGTCTCTCTGCAGGCAATTAGAGGGGGGGGGACCCGAGCCACGGATGCGAGGGAGTCAGATAAAGGCGGGCACGGGCGGCGATCCACAAAGCAGTTAAGCTGCATCACAGACCTGGGCGCCCCGGTGTCTTCCGTCCTAACCCTGAATTTCACAGACCCCATCTCGGGTAATCCGCCCCCATTTCGGGTCTCCCCCCCCCCAACACACGGGGTCTTCTCTAACCGCCTCCGCGACAGATGGAGTCCCTCCCCCTCCCCGAAAGGCGAGTCGGCCGGCGCCTGCCTTCCCAAGAAGCCCCGGGGGGAGCCGCAGGCAGAGGGAGGGGTCGGGTACCTTTGCTGTGCTGGAGGAACTCGGCGTTGCCGGCGGCGCAGTCCGGGGTGCAGCTCACCTCGATCTCCTCGTAGAAATCCGACTCGGTGTCCGAGCTGCTTTGCTGGCCTGTGGCGGCCAGGCGGGGGAGGGGGGGCTGCGGGCCGGCCGAGAGGAGCGCGGCGGCGGCGGAGCGGCTCTCCGGGACCGTCCCTGTCCCCGGCAGCACTTCCACCTCTTCCTCTTCATCCTCCTCCTCCTCTGCCGCCGCCGCCGCCTCCAGCCTTCCTCCTCCTCCTCTCCTCTCCCGGGAGGACAAGGCGCCGGACCGGGGGCTCAGGCAGCTCCGATGGGCCATCTTGTCCGGGGGCTCCTGCCCTGGACTCGCCACGCTCTCGGCCAAGGCGGGCGCCCTCTTGGCGACCAGAGGGCCGAGGGGACTTCCTTCCAGAAACATCACCATCTCCTTCCTGGTTTCCATCCTGCTTGTCTCCTCGAGACAGTCCAGATCCTCTCTCTCCCTCTCTCCCACCCCACCCCACCCCAGCCCCCATCCACCCCTCTCTTGCGCCTTCCCCCCCTCCCCTCCCAGCAGACCAATGCAGCGAAGAGCAGCCCGCGGTGAGCCGGGGGGTGACCTTGTGATGCGCGCGCTCCAGTGTGCAGCGCCGGCTCTGGGAGGGATCTCACCGTTGCCCTCTTCTTTCTAAAGCTGTCATCCCTTAATGGTGCAATCGTCATTACGGGACCGCTGGTGACGCCACTCACTCGATTGCCGGGGGATAAATAGAAACGTCTGCCGGCCAGGAAGATGAAAGGAAGAGCCGGAGCGGAGCGGGGAGGGGGGGCCGGGGGAGATGCCCCAGGTGTGACGAGCGCCTGGGAAGGATGCTGGAGGGACGTGTGAAAAGGGAGATGCGGAGGGGATTCGACGGCAGACCAGAGAGTTCCTCAGATGGGAAAGGAAGCTTTGCCGGGGGACAGCTAAGTCACCTTTTGATGTTGGTGTTTTTTTAACAGCTACAACTTTGATCTGAACCGGATGAGAAGATTCGGAGCTGCGCTTCCCAGGTGTGAAAAAGATACACACTCTTGATGGCTCCGTATCCGAATTGCTGTTTCTTCTTTTGCAATCTGTTGCCCTTCCAATCGTGTTTGTAAACTCTATTTAAAAATGCGTTCCTAAAAATTTCTCCTGATTAATGCTTTCTTCCCCTTAAACGCTAGATTTCCCCCCCAAGCCATTTGGTTAAAAAAAAACCTCTAGAATTGTTAGCAAAGGAGACAGAGAGACAGATGGATTGATTCATGACTGTAAATTCCCTCCTCACTACCTTCCTGTCTTATCATTCCAACTGATCGTTTTGCTTCAAAAGATATTTTATATTTTGTTTTCTTTCCACAGGCAGGACTTTTAACCGAAGAGGCTTTTTAAGGATTCTGCTAGTCAGAAAGAAGCAAGCCGGCTGCATATTCCGCATTCTTCAAATTTCAGAATAAATCAGGCAATGTTTGATAGGTGCTTGTCTATCTCGGGCGTCTGTTCATTTGCCTATTCTTCAAAATATATTCTTGAGCTGGAAGGAAATCGACTTAACAGTAGCACATATACTCTTTTTAAAAATGCTCTGGCCATCACTGGTAACTCGATTACACTTATTTTCAAGGAATGTCGGTCATGTTGCTTTTACCGACCTCAAACCCATAATGTTTTCCAGTCTGGTAAAGAATTTACGGGGATTTTTGAGGGTTTGCGCAAGGTACAAAAGGAAGCAGAACAGCAGCCCTCATAAGGGCAAGTATCCCTCCGTTTTTTGTAATACCTGCAGGGAGAACGAGGGGAAGATACAGAGTGACGATGGTAAGCAGGCCAGCAAAGAAATCTCAGATCCATGAGCAGCGCCAGGACCATGAGTTACTTCCGAGGAACAGAAAACCAGTATGCTGTGGAAGTGGATGGAGAGAGGCCATGGTGAGTATAGCCTCTACCTCCTGCGAAGGGGTTATAATGTGATTGTTCCGAGTCTTTCCCGCAACGCAGGACCTCTTTGCGCTTGAGAGAGCCGGTGGGGCACGAGGACCTAGCTGGAAAGCCCAGATTCGAATGCCCCTTCTTTCTTCCAGGGTGACTTTGGGTCAATCAGGCTCAGCTTAACCCACCTCGCCGGGCTGTTGCTGCTGTTATGGTAAAAATGGAGGAGGGGAGAGGGATGCTGTAAGTCACTTTGGGTCCCCATTAGAGAGAAGAGTGGGGTATAAAGACCTAAGTGAATTAGTTAAACTAATGCAATTTACTTCCCAGTTTGGCTCTGACGTCAGCGATGCCACCTTGCTGCAATCCTAACGGAAACTCCATTCCTGTTTAGGATCTTGGTGCCATTCTAGCTGCAGCCCAGGGGATACGCGCTTCTATCCTAAACAGGTCGCAGGCCCTGTCCAAACCAAGGCTTTTAGGATGGCAGTGTTCAAAACCGACTTAAATGCCAGGACTACGCTTGACAAGGGCTGTGGATTGGAATTAGTAAAAAAATTATATAAAATATATGTTCCATTCTTTCAGTGGCTACTCGGAATGTGGATCCAACTGTGACTGCAGCATTAACCCGACGTCTCTTTGAAGGCCAGCACCACAATCGGAATCACCTTTAGCCCCAACGTGTATAAAGTATATGAATTCCCGTGAAGCGTAATAGGATTTATTTCCTAGTGGATGTCATTTGGGATTGAATAAGATAAAAGGGGCAGAGGACCGAGGGTGTGTGTCTTTTTTCCTTTCCTTTCCTTTCCTTTCCTTTCCTTTCCATTCATTCATTTATTGCTTGCTTGCTGATTTGTAAGAGCGATAGCATTGTTTCCTCCCAGGGATCAGAGTGGAGCATAAAGCAAGTAAGAGTCTTACCTTCTCCTTTTCTTTCTCCTACAGACACCCAGGATATCTAGAAACCCGCTCCATCCTTCCCACCCATACCCTCCCCTCTTTACGCCTGACTAACTGTTGGGAGAAGAGGACCATCTGGAGGGGGGAGGGGGAGGAGTCTCTTGCCGGGAGAGGGGCCTCTGCCTCCAGTCATGGGCGGGAGAACCGGAGGAGGAAGTGGGGGCTGTTTAAAGCAGTCAGCGGAGGGGGCTGGGACGGAAAGCGGCCCTCCTGGTCTCCTCAGCTGCCTCCAAGGCAGACCAAGGCAGCTGCGATTGAAAGGAGGCTCCGGCGTGAGGAGCCTTCTTCCCCTTAAGCAGCTCGGGGCTTAGGAGTGCCCTTAAACGGCTGCTGGTAAACCGAGTTAATGCCGAGCCTAATGAACCCCCCTGGGCCTTGGGAACGCGGCAGGGCTCATTTGTCTGGGGCTGCTTGGCCCCAGCTTGGTTGGCGGGCGGGCGGGCGGGGCGGGGCGGGGGGGTCTCTTCTCCTCCCGGGAGGCGTTCTTGGCGCTCCCCCCCCTGCCCGGAGCTCCTGCTCAAGCGCGCTCCCCGCCCCTCCTCGGCCGCTCGGTGGGAGGCGCGGCGCTGGGACACACACAGGGGAGCGCCGACCTTTCCCTGCCCGCTCGGAATGCGCGACGTCAGCGGCTGTCATTCCGGCTGTGCTGCGAAGGTGAGAGCGGGTCAGTCGAAGGCGAGGGCCGGTGGGCCGGTCCCAGCCTCTCAGTGGATCCAGAGATTGGTGGGGCCGCATATTTGTGGCCCAAGTACTGACGGAGGGTTACAAAAATGACCGCGAAGGGTGAGCAAGGAACCACGGGGAAGCGCCGCTAAATGCGACGGGAGCTCCGTCTGGATAGGCAGACATGGTCTGGGTGTAGTAAAACAGTGATGAAACAAGAAAATACTTAAACGAACCTCGGCCGTCCCTCCGCGTGTGGTCTCCTCCACAGCCTTTTGCGTGCCCCGAGAAGAGAGATCTGGCCGCGGGCGCATCTGGAACTGGGGAGGATGGTCTCCTGCTGTTGCTCGCAGACGAGTCCCCCAGCAAGCGGTGAGGGGTCTCCCAAAGCCCCGCGCGAATTACTTCTAAGGGGATGAGAGGATAGCTCAGGCTCCCAAAGTGGTCCTCGGGCAGACCCATCCCTCCTTCCCTGAGCCTCCCGGAGCATGATTTTAACCAGATCTGCTCCCTGACCCCGCTGGGTTTACATTAGACGGTGAGATGAAGCGGCGCGATAAGCCTCCTGCGCTCCCCCAACCCCTTGTCCCGAAGGCTGGTTTCAAGTGGGCGTCGAAATGAAAGTGTCCGGTCAGGGCCTATAAAATACCGGGGAAGATCAAACCGCGGCAGGGCTCGCCTTGACCTTTCCGAAACGCTGAAACCCCAACGCCCCTCTCCGACTTTATCTAATGTTTGAAAGAAAGGCAGGGTGGGGGTCCCTAGAGGCTGTTCTTTAAAACAAAAAACCCACACGGTCTAGGGTCTCTCTACCACCTTTCCATAATCACCGGGTTTCTCCCTTTGCTTTCGACAGCCCAGATCGGGTGCCGACCCTAACACCTTGGGAGATGGGAAAACTACGATTCAGTCCTAAAGACAGTCATACCCTTTCAAACCCATTGATATAGAAGAGAATGTTAGGATTGCACAGCTAATGGGGCTAATTTTTATCTGCATATCGGAGATGTGCTTGTTTTGTTGCGTTTGCACTCCCGCCTTTCCTCCGAGGGGGTGGGACGGCTACATTAAGAGTTCTCACGTTTTATCTTCACCACAGCAACCAAGTGAGGTTCCTTAGGGTCAGACTCCGGGTAGAGATTCAACCAACTTCATTAGCTGAATGAGCTTCGGATCTGTTCCAGCTTGGTGTCTGTCTTTCTCCGCTTTTGAAAATGCACCTCTGTCGAGGTTCACATGAGGCACTCAGGGCTAAAGTTTTTCATTCCACGTGTCATAGTCGTTCTGTCGTGAAAAGCCAGGAGCGAAGCTTTCCGAGAAAAGTACTAGGGTCGCTCCCGAGGGAAGGTCAGCCCAATATTAAAATGTCATCCTACATGTCACTTACTTTGATCGAGAAGATTGCCTAGAAAGGCAACTGTAATGTTAATAACACACACCCGTTTGTATTATTATATATCTTTACATTTATTGGGTTTTAAAATATTTTTGTGAAACTCCTTGAACTTTGGGAAGGCGGTACTAAAATGTTTCAGACATAGAAAAATAAATAAATATGTCTTTTCTGGTCCCCAAGAGTCTACACAAGAATACAAGTTTGAGTAATGTTGAACCTTTAAATCAACACTTCCTTTTAGTAAAATATTATTTCACGTTTGAACACGATTCATTTGCGTATGCCTTTGTCTAATGCACTAAGGCTCATTCACCAGGCTAAGGCATTTACCAAAGGGTTCATGGCGCAGGATCTTTTTTTTATTCATCTGAATCAATAATTTGTTTTGGTTTTTTCTTCACCTTCTCACTGTTTTCAAAAACAACAAAGAATACGTAGCAAACCCCAAACAGTACATCTGAAAACACTTGATTTTAAGGCGATT